AGATATAGATATAGATATAGATATAGATATAGATATAGATATAGATATAGATATAGATATAGATATAGATATAGAATCGGGATGGGTGTGTCGGAGACAGTGTGATTGGCACAGGATAGAGCACGGTTTATGGCTGTTGTACATAGGGTCGCTATGAGTCGCAAGCTGTATGTATATATATACATACAGGTTTATTTACAAAGTTTGCGTACATTGCCGGATCTTTCCCATTTCCTTCACCATCCCCACCCATCAAATTATGCAACCCTTTGATTAATCTTTTCTCCCACCTCTACCGCCCATCCTCACCCCTCTGCTTCCACCCTCCCCCCTGCCTTAGATCCTTATACTCATTCTACAATAATGGTTTTATACAGTATTTATCCTTAAGGGACTCAGTGAACATAATGCTCTCCAGTCCCTCCCAAGTTAAGTAGTAATTTACAAAGTCATTGCTCCTGCATTCTGTGTAGTATTCTACTGTATGAATGTACTATAATTTCTCAATCCATTCGATTGTGGCTGGACATCTGGGCTGTTTCCATGTTCTTGTGTTAGTGAATAACGCTGCTATGAACACTGGTGTACAAGTCTCTGTTTGTGCCTCTGTTTCTTTTTCTCAGCGTATATTCCAAATAGTGGAATAGATGGGTCATGTGGAATTTCTATGTTCATCCTTTTGAGGAAGTGCCAAACTGCCTTCCAAAGTGGTGGTCCCATTTTACAATTCCACCAACAATGTGTGAGAGCCACGAGAGCCACATCCTCTCCAACATCTATTACTTGCAGTCCTGTTAAACTTTGCCACTGCTATTGAAGTGAGATGGTATCTCATTGTGGTTTTGATTTGCATCTCTCTTGTTGCCAGTAATTTTGAGTATTTCTTCATGTGTCTGTTGGCCTTTTGAATATCTTCCTCAATGAAAATTTTTTCCATATCTTTTGCCCTTTTTGTAATTGGGTTATATCGTGTGTGTGTGTGTGTGTGTGTGTGTGTGTGTGTGTGTGTGTGTAAGCCCAGGAGTATTCTGTAAACTGTCGTTAATGAAAAACTCTTGTCTGAGACTGTATTGCCAAATATTTGTTCCAAATCAGTAGGGGTTTTTTCACCCTGTTGGAAGAAGTTTTTGATGCGCATAGGATTTAGAAGGTTCCATTCATCAATTTTATCCTCTTCAGATGGTGCATTTCTGGCTGTATTTGGCAGTCTCTTTACTGTAGACTCGGCCTTCTGAGCTTGATCACAGTTGTCTCTATGAACTTTATGGTCTGGGGCTGTTTTTATATATGGTGTGAGATGTGGATCTTGTTTCAGGTTTGCATTTTAAAGATGGTGCTCAGACCATGCATGGCTGATGGTGTCTCTTCGGTGTCCTGTTCTCTGTAGACACTTTGTGAAGTTATATTTTTAACCACAATGAAGAGCTTAATGGCCAAAATGCATGAAGGGAGTTACTCACATTCAAGAGGTTACCAGGAGACCAGAGATATTTAAATGAGTTCACGTCATCAACTCCCAGCATTTCCTCAAAGAACTTCCAAGACTTCAAATAAATGTTTCTTGCCTCTGTTCACTTTCAGATACGTGTATAGCATCGTGTTTTCTGGTGTGAACATGTACATTTGCAACTAAAAACTTCTATGTTGAAAAACTGAAACTAAAATGAAGGAGACTTAGGTAACACCCTCCTTCACCACGTGGAAGGCATTGCACTCCAGCTAGAATCCCACTCGGTCCTCCTGTGCCCCCACAGCCTCCCCACCACTCCGAATGCACAGTGAGCGCCAGCAGAAGCCCCTTCCTGAGCGGGGCCCAGTCACAGCACAGGGACGGTCCAGAGCGAGGCCCAGTCACAGCACAGGGACGGTCCAGAGCGAGGCCCAGTCACAGCACAGAGATGGTCCTGAGCGGAGCCCAGTCACAGCACAGGGATCGGTCCTGAGCGGGTCCAGTCACAGCACAGGGACAGTCCAGAGCGGGGCCCAGTCACAGCACAGAGATCGGACTTGCACTGACTTTCTGGGACACTATGAACCAGGACTCGGACGGCCCTGGAGGAAATCAAGGACCTGGGCCTGGGCTGCTTCAGCAGCTCCTTGTCCTCACAGAGACAGCAAGGGTCCACAGAATGAGGTTCCCTCAGAGCAGTCACTCTTGAGGTTGTATGTTCTGGAGTCAGTGTGGGCAGCTGCACACAGATGTTCTCATGATACTGCCCACAGGGCTGCCCTCAGCGCAAGGCCCAGCTGTTCATGGGATCTGTGAGAACCAGCTCTGGGAGGAGGCCCACCTAGGCCATCCCCTCTATGTGCCAAACCCAAAAGGCCCTTGGCAGTGTCTCAGGGAGAGTGGTGACAGAGGTATCCTGGCAGGCTCCAGGTACAGGTCCTGAACGACCACAGCAATGGTGGTGGACGTTTGTCCTCCACCACCCACTTCCTCCCCATTCTCAGAGTAGGGAGTCTCCTTACTGTTGACTGCACCTGGAAGGTCCAACCCTGCTTGGAGACACCGGATGTCCAAGTCACCTGATAGCGTACATGCGGCTTGGGCGTATCTGAGACGTGCATATCTCCACATTTGCTGAGTTTTGGAGTATCCTGAACATGGTCACCCCCCACACTCAGTGGGTTTTTGGAAATCTGGAAGTGTGCTCACTCCCACACACTCTGAGTGGGTTTTGGGGTGTCTGGAAATGTGCTTACCCCATCCTCTCTGCCTGCAGCTGCCACAGACGTGTCCTTCTCCTTTGACGTGGGGAATGGACCAGTGGAGATTGTGGTGAGGGCCCCGTCCCCGCTCAACGATGACCAGTGGCACCGTGTCACCGCCGAGAGGAACGTCAAGCAGGCCAGCTTGCAGGTGGACCGGCTGCCTCCACAGGTGCGCAAGGCCCCCACGGAAGGCCACAAGCGCCTGGAGCTCTACAGCCAGCTGTATGTGGGTAAGTGGGGGACAGCCTGAACATGGTCATCACAGAGACCAGACATAAGTGACTGGGGGCCATAGGGGGTCTCGGTGTCCATGTTCACATCTGTATGTGAGTGAACGGGAGCCGTGTGAGAACACAGGCACTTGGAGGTGGGTCTCCATGTTCACAGAAGTACGTGGTGAATGGGGATTAGACCTGGACCTAGGAACCAGCACAAGGTGCTGCAGGGGGTTGGAGGTCTCCATGTACACAGGTGTGGGTGCTGTGGTCTCCTCTAGACCAGGTGGACCTCATCCCCCCTCCTTAACCTGAAGAAATCAATCAACTATCTAACCCAATGTGGTCAAGGTGATCCTGGCTCATAGCAGTGCTGAAAAGCAGATGTCCAGGGAGATGCTGGGCAGCATGTCCACAGAAGCTGACCTTTCTTCTGAAGAGCCACTGAGTGAGTTTGAACCACAAACCTTTAGGTTACAATCCCAGTTCACTTGAGCCACCTGGTCAAACAAACCAACCACCAGACCTGTCACTGCTGAGCTGGTCTGGCAACATCCTCCCTCCATGAGGTTCCCAACACTGTAAATCTTTGTGGGAGGCAACTATCCATCCTTCTCCATGGAGCACAAGGCAGGTTTGAACTGCCCACCTTTCAGTTAGAAGCTCAATATGTTACAATCTATGCCATCAGAGCTCCTTGCCTCCTAATAAAGTACACAAAGTTATATTCAGTCATTGAAATAAAAAGCCCTGGAGAGCGCGGACATACAGTAAAGCACAGATACTCTGAGGGCTCTTCCTAAGCAGCGTGCCGGGGGGCTAGGGGAGCACCATGCTCCCTTCCTGTGAGCCCAGCCCACCTCTCTGGGTCCAGGGACAGCCCTTCCCCACCAAGACCAAGCACTCCCATTCTGCTCTCACCTGCCTGCCTACCTGCCACTTGTCCCTCCCCGCCCCCCTCACTTTCTGCTGGCTCTTCCAGGTGACTCACGACTCTCCCCGCCAGTGGTCACCATTTGATGTCCTGCCTTTGGCCTTAGCAGTCAAGACTAATTACCTTCTGCAGCCCTAGCTGTCAGGCTGGAGCTAGAGCGCCAAACCCTACATGAGTGACGGTACCCACAGTTCCTTCTTCCCATTTGCTCCAGCAGAACCAGTTAGCAGTGAACTTCCACCTCTGGAACTCTCAGAACTCTCTTGATGATGTTGATGTTGTTATGTACCATTGAGTTACCTGCAATTTGTAGTGACTCTATGCACAATAGCTCTGAACCCTTTCCTATCTTGAGCCAATGTCACTGTCTCTGACACACCTGTCCCTATTACCCTAGTTGCTGTACCAATCCATCTTATCCAGGGTCTTACTCTCCACCCATCCAAACATGATGTTCTTCTCCAAGGACTAGTTCCTCCTAACAACATGCCCAAAGTATGTGAGCTGGAGCTTCAAAATCCTTACCTCTAAGGAGCAACCTGGTTTCACCCTCTCCAGTACAGACCTACTTGTTCTCTCTGCAGTCTGTGCTATGTTTAATACTCTTCTCCAGCACTACAACTCAAAAGCATGAATTCTTCTTCTGTCATCCTTGGTCATTATCCAGCTCTCTGATACATAGCAAGTAATTGCAAAGACTATGGCCTGGGTCAGGAGAACCTTAGTCTCTAGACTGACACTTTGTACTTCAGCACCCTGGAGAGGTCCCTGACAGCAGATGTTCCTAATCAAATTTGTCTTTTGACCTAACCCTGAGCTGGAGGGCACCTCTGTGCAGTCTTCTAGAGGCAGGTCTTAGTCCTGAGGACAGAGCTGGTCCCCTGTTATCAGTATCGATGTCAAGCCTACTCCAGCGCCTCCCTTCTAAGGAGCACTCCAGTTACACTTCTTCCACAATGGATTTGTTTGTTTCTCTGGCTGTCGCTGACTTGTGTCAGTATAAAAAGGTAACACTACAGAGGGGCTGACACTTTGGGGCTTGGCAGGCTCTGCTCTAGCTTCCTCATGACAATTTCAAGGGTCTGATCCAGCAAAAGCACTTTTTAAAGTGAAGGTACGAGTTGCAACATGAAGGTTGCAAGATCTTGAATGATCTAGGAAGCATCAAAAGAAGATGGAAGGATTACACAGAGTACATTGTACTAAAAAGTACCGGCTGATACAGAACCACTTCAGAAAGTAGTATATGATCAAGAACTAATAATAATGAAAGAAATGTAACCTGCATGGGCAAAAACTAAGGCCCCAAGAATCAATGGGATACTAATGGACATGTTCAACAAGAAGATGAAGCTCTTTTTGCCTCACCAGGCTGTGCCAAGAAGTCTAGAAGACAGCTTCCTGGTCAACTGACTGGAAGAGATCTATGTTTGTTCCCATTCCCCAAAAAAAAGTGATCCAACAGAATGTGGAAATTATTGAACTACCTAATTACTATTACCTGCAAGCAAAATCTCCCTGATGATTATTAAAAAATTACTAGAACAGTACATTGACAGAGAACTGCCAGAAATTAAAACTGGATTTAGAAGAGGCCATGGCACCCAGGATATCATTGCTAATGTCAGATGGGTCTTGGCTGAAAGCAGAGAATACAAGAAGGATATCTATCTGTGTTTTATTGTCTGTGCAAAGACATTTGTGTGAATCACAACAAATTATGGTTAACACTGAGAAGGAGAATCCCAGAACTTAATTGTGCTCATGTGAATCCTAGACCTAGAGAGGCTGTTGTCCAAACAGAATAAGGAAACATTAGATGCTTTAAAGTCAAGAAAAGTGTGCATCAGAGAGGTATCCTTTTTCCATACCTATTCAATCTGTGTGCTGAGCAAGTCATTCAAGACACTGAGCTTTATATGAAGAATGTGACATCAGAATCAGAGGAAGACTCACCACAAATCTACATTGCAGAGATCACACAACCTTGCTCACTGAAAAATGAAAACTTGAAACACTTGCTGCATAAGATCAAAGACTTCACCATGGATTATATCTCAACATCAAGAAAATAAAAATCCTCACCACTGAGCTAAGAGGCAACATCATGAGAGATGGATAAATGATTGTCAGCAATTTCATCTTACTTGTATCTACAATCAGCAGCCTTGGTACCAGCAATCAAAACATCAAAAGACTTATTGCATTGGGAAAATCTGTCATCAAGGACATCTCCAAAGTGTTAAGAAGCAATGATATCCATCTAAAGATTAAAATGTACTTGATCCAAGTTATTGTCTTTCAAATTACTTGATACATATCTGAAAGGTGGAAATGACAAAGGGTGACAGAAAAATTTGATGTCTTTAAGTTGTGGTGTTAGAGAAGAGTACTGAATATCTCAAGGACTGGCGAAAGAACAAACATGTCTTGGGAGAAAGTGCATCCAAGGTGCTCCTTACAGACAAGAATAGTGAAGCTTCATCTCACAATATTTTGGACTTAGGAAGGGCTACTCCTTGGAAAAAGACATCATGCTTGGGAAGGTGAAGGGTCAGAGAAGAAAGGAAGACCCTCAATGAGACGGACTGACACAGTTTACTTCAACAGTGGGCTCATCATGTATATCAGAAATGGTAAGGATGGCACAGGATGGAGCAGTGTTCAGAACCATTGTTCAGAGGGTCGCTTTGAGTCATAGTAGATTTGATGGTGCATAACAACAGAATGCCAGGAAATGTTTTCACCATATTTATCAAATAATTTCACACATTGATTTTTTTTCTTATTATTCTTTCAGCAAGGACTGTACTAAAATTCAGATTATAAATGGCAACTGTCTTACAGGGGGAAAATGGAAACATTAGAGCCAGGGACAGAAATGTGGTGGGGAGAGATGTCCCAGGCCTTCCCTGGGACATTGAAGAAGATGGAGACGTTATGCTGTTAGAGCGGCAGCAATGAAGTGCCGCAGAGAATGGGCCTGTTCTCTGGAGGTTCTGGAGATGAAGACGCTTTCCAGGTGTCACAGAGCCAGGTCTGGGGAGGGTCTTCCCTTGCCCCTCACCTTTGGTGGCTCCAGGTGTTTCTGACATTCCTTGACATGTAGGTATATCTTTTCATGCCTTCTCTCATCAATCTGTTTCCATGTCTTTCTCCCCTTTCACTTGACACCATTCATAAGGCATTGTTGTTAGCTGTTGTCAGGTGGTGTTAGATGGTGTTAAAAGATGTTGTTAGGTATTGTTGTTAAGTGTTGTTTTTAGGTGTTGTTAGATGGTGTTGTTAGGTGTTGTTGTTAGGTGTTGTTAGGTGTTAGATATTGTTAGGTGTGTTATTAGGTGTTATATGTTATTTGGTGTTGTTAGATGGTGTTATTAGGTGTTGTTAGGTATTGTTGTTAAGTGTTGTTAGGTGGTGTTGTTAGGTGTAGTTAGGTGTTAGGTGGTGGTGTTAGGTGTTATTGGGTGTTGTTAGATGTTGTTGTTAGGTGATGTTGTTAGGTGGTGTTAAGTGGTGTTGTTAGGTGGTGGTGTTGTTAGATGTTGTTAGGGGGTGTTGTTAGGTGATGGTGTTAGGTAGTGGTATTAGGTGGTGATGTTAGGTGGTATTGTTAGATGTTGTTAGGTGTTGTTGTTAAGTGTTGTTATGTGTGGTTGTTAGGTATTGTTAGGTGGTAGTGTTAGGTGGTGGGTGTTTTTAGGTGGTGATAGGTGATGTTTCTAGGTGTTGTTAGGCAGTGTTGCTAGGTGTTGCTAGGTGTTGTTGGTTGTTGTTAGTTATTGTTAGGTGTTGTTGTTAGGTGACATTAGGTGTGGTCCTGCATATTTTTCATAGTCATTGCTGTTTGAGCTCGCTGTTAAGGACCTTCTTTTTCACTAACCCTTTGCTTTATCAAGCCTAATGTCCTTCTCCAGGGATAAGCCCCTCCTAATACCAAGGAATTAGGACCCATCTTGCTCTGTATGATAGTGTTGCCCTAACTGTAACTGATCATACTTTCAAAGATCTAACCAACATCATATCCACTGTTCCTGGGGCTTCAACATATCTGCTGGGATGGGAGAGACAAAGTTCAACC